GTGGCTTAGACTGCCTGACCTTTTCTCCCTAGAGATCACATCTAGACCTAAGTTGTATTTCAGCTCCAGGCCCAGAAAAGCAGCAAAACTAGGTGGGCAATGCCAGGACCAGCTGCCCTGATGCAGACCAATCAGTAGAGACCATGACCTTGAAAGGGTACCTGTGGAAAAACTGATGAACGTTCTATTGAGATCTTCCCTCATGACCTCCTCTAAACTCACAGCCTTTAAAAACCCTCAAAAGGAAGGTCCCAGCTCATGCTTCTGCTCCCAGGAGCAAGCCCTCGAGCCTTTCCCCCTTCCTCTCTTTTTCCCTCTCAGGCTGCGTATTCTAAACAGTAAGGGACTCCATGAGACTTGCAGCCAGGGGAGTAATGGGCAGCGGCAGCTCGTCCTTCTCCACCTGCCTCCAAGGCCCCTTTTCTCTGACTTCTCAGTGAGCCAAAGTAGCCCCTCCTAGATTCTCTCCTGTTGCTTTTTCTGTTCTAAGCCCTTCTTTGTTTCACTGTCCCCAGCTTTAATAAACGTACTCTCAGAATCACCTGGACTTGTGGAGCCTTTCCTGCACTAAGTCAAGAACCCACACTCTCCTTGCCAGCCCCAGGCAGACCCGCTTTGGGCACGGTCCCCATCTGGAAACTGTAGTAATAGTGTTCCCACATGTCCAGCTTTACTAAGTAGAGCTGCAGCTTTCAGATGCACAATCCAGTATTATTAACTTTAGTCACCATCGTGTCCATTACATCCCCATGACTTCTTTATTTTATAACGGGAAGTTTGGACATTTGGCCCATTTTGCCCATTCCCTACTCCCCTGCTCTGTCAACCACCAGTCTCTTCTCTGTGTTTATGAGCTTGTTTTTGTTTTGTATTTTTAGATGTCACATATAAGTGAGATGACTTGGTGTTTTTCTTTTTTTATTTATTGATTGTAGAGAGAGAAGAAAGGAGAGAAAAACATTGATTTGTTGTTCCACTTATTTATGCATTCATTGGTTGGTTCATGTATGTACCCTGACCAGGGATCATACTGGAAACCTTGGAGTGTTGGGACGATGCTCTGGCCAACTGAGCTGCCCAGCAAGGGCATGTTTGTCTTTCTTTATCTGACTTATTTTGCTTAGCGTAATGCCCTCAGGGTCCCACCATATTGTCACCAATGGCAAGATTTCTTTTTTTGTGGCTGAGTAGTATTCCATTGCATATATTTACTACATTCTTCTTTGTTGATCTCCTCTTAACTCAATTTAACTGCTCAGCCCATAGGATTCTCCCCATTTGCATCATGTGGCATTGGCTCTAATAATTAAGGTTATAAATCGTGGATAATATAGCATAAATGTTTTCGTAGATTTTTGGATTTGCTGTTTATTTTGTTCAGAGCATGAGGAACCCTGCTGTTGAACATGTCACTAGAGTTAAGAAATCACCACATGAAAACTGGCAGATGAAGGGCTGGCTAAATTTGGGAGTATTATCTACATGTCACTTTCCAATGCATGTTGTAATCTCCTAATTACGTTCATATTAGCATTTTACTTTTTATTAATCATTGTAACCAAGGTTACTTTATTCCACCAACTCCCTGGTGAGATTTGTGTGCTGAGACACACAATAGCTGATCTTGAAATTTGAGTATAAGAGCATGAAAATTCTAACAGAAAATTTTTTCTCATACAGTCAAGTTAAATATTTAAATTAAGTGAATGTTTTTGTCTTATTCTTAATAATTAAAACTCAGTTAAGTTATACTTTAAGAAGATTATTAAATCAATATGTATTGCTCTTGGTATAGAGTCAACAGAACCATTAAAATTAACTATATTCTGCTTTTTAAAATGTATTCATACTAAAGGACAAGTCATACATCTTTTGTTTTTGTTATTTTTAAGGCAAGAGGAGCAGACGTTCCTGAGATTCCTGGAGACCTTAGTCTTAAGACATGTGGCAGTACAGCCAGTATGAAGGTTAAACATGTAAAAAAGTAAGTACAATTTTCCAGTGGCTTTGAAATGAATTCCTATAAATGGAAATCAGTTCTTTAGTTCTCTTAAAGCTTTTATGTAGCTTTCTTATTAAATAAGCTTTTACTGTCCATACATTAAATTATACTGGTGAGCCTTAAGTTATGACTCAACAGTTAGTGGAAGAGGTCTGAAGATTATCTCTGGTCTAAAAATATGCTTTCATTTTGTTGTTGCGACTTTATGTCATTGTCTGTTAGGTCGCATTTGTTCAACAGAAACAACCCACGTATGTCCTTCTTAGTACCTTTAATCCATGTTCTCATTCGTGTAGGAAAGTCGTTTGTTGTTTGAGTTCTGAGAATTGCTGTACCTCAGCTTTGCCCTCAGGAAGGCCCGAAATGGGCACCAGTAGTTCTCTTAAGTGAAGTATCTTAAGGTACCTGTTTCAGTTTTAAACAGAAGAACCGTCCTTTCACCTGGTAGAGGGTTAGATAGTGTGTTTTCGTTGCAAGTGTAGAAAAGACGAGCATAAAAGTGTTCATTCTGCACCCAGACCCCCCGCCCCAGGACTGATGGGCTGCGACAACATGCACAGGTAAAACCTGCTTTGTGCTTTGTGGTGGGGATGCTGCCTCTGGTTAGAAGCTGGCTCTTCTCGGTTCCATATCACTCACTGAAAGCACAGATTTTCTGTGGGCATTAACTTGGGTGACAGTTAGGAGAGTATAGTGATGCTCTTTAATTTTGTTTGTTTGTTTTTTGTTTTTGTTTTTTGACCTGTGCACTAAATGTAATTTCATTTGATTCAGTGTAATTCTGAAAAGGTTTGTGTGGGTATATGTGTGCTCATGCGCATGTGCTTATTAAATAGTTTGCTTGCATGAGCTCCTAAACCCATTTTATTTTCTCCTTAGGCTTAGTAATCTTCACTGTTTTAGTGTCTTGTGTCTCACTTACTTATTTCATGTTCTTCAGGTTACCCTTCACTAAAGGTCACTTTCCGAAGATGGCTGAATGTGCACATTTCCATTATGAGAACGTTGAGTTTGGCAGCATACAGGTACATTTGCAATAGTTCCCGCATGCTGACTTAAGATTATATCTCCATCTCCATCTCCATCTCCCTATACTCATATCCATAGATCTGGCTGGTGGCACCTAAAAGTATTTTTTCCTACTGATGTCTTATTTGGTCGATGTGAAAACTCTTATTTTCTTATATTTACTAATATTTGATATCTGATGACTCCTAATTCAGTTGGAAATAATAATTGAATCAATGTAAATCTCAACATTCCTATCAAATTCCTAGACAGTGTTTGCCACTGTTTTATAGCCTGAGTTATTCTAGTTGTTACCTGATTCTTGTGTTGGGTCATAGTAGTGATGAATCAGAGTTGGGCAAAGTGGAGTAGGGGTTGGGGAAGAAGCGCTAATGGAGTTTTCCCCCCAGTATTTTTGCTGTGATGTGTATCATGCATATAAATATACTGGGGTGAGCAAAAGTAGATTTAAAAACAACTCTGTGTCAGAGTGTGCTTGAGTATAGCAAGTAGAATACAAGAATGTGTGACTAACGAAAGCTGGCAATTTGAGCACTTATGAGATTGTACCTAAGTGCACTGTGCTGTTGTGACATTCTTTTGAGTCAATAAAGCTATTGTAATGATCATAATCTACATGTCTTTTTCCATATGAACAACTGTAAACCTACTTTTGCCCACCCCGTGTGTGTGTAACATATATATGTACACATATACATTATATACATATATATGTACATTTGAAAGCCCAGGTTAAGAGTGAGAAATTTTCTGTGTTGCATTTGCTTTCCCTACCCCAGAGGTTACTTATACCATGACTTATTTTCATAACCTTACATGTTTTATGGTTTTACTATCCGTATGCATCCCTAATTAATGTGGTGTTTAGGTTTACCTGTTTTTGAGCTTTATGTAATTGGAAGTATTTAATGCATTCAGCAGATATTTACTGAGCAAGTACTGGATACCAGGCACTGTTTTGGGTGCTTTGGCTACAGCAACAAAAGTCAAAGACCCATTTTTAGAGAGCATAGAGGGTGGCCAAGAAGATAAGAGCTGTGGTTAAAAAAAAAGAAGACTAGGAGAAGGATCAGGGGTACTGGTGGTAACTTGAAATATCAAAGCAGGGTATGCTTAATTATTGAATGTGTTCTTTCTTGCTTCTTTCATTTAACGTGGAATTCATCGCTGTGGATGTATGTAGTTATAGTTTGTCCAGTCGCTGCTGTATATTAAACCTTGTTGACTGGTCATCTGTGTACACGTGTTTCTGTCTCTGAATGTTGCTGAACGGTCACGAGATAACTTGTGTCTGCACTTCCGTTAATTTAAGTAATTTTAAACACCTTGCTGACCAAAGTAGCCGGCCACACGGGTGAGTTCTAGCCTGAAGTACTAGACCCTTATCAGAATCTATATAATTTGCAAATATTTTCTTATATTCTGTGGGTTCTTTTCACTCTCTTTATAGTGACCTTTGAAGCACAAAAGTTTGTCATTCTGATGATCTAATTCATCTATTTTTTTCCTTTGGTTGATGGCTTTTGCTTTTGTTGCCATATCTAAGAAACCATTGCCTATCCCAAGATCATGAAGATTTACTCCTGTGGTTACTTTTAAGAGTTTTATAGTTTTAGCACTTACATTGATGTCTTTGATCCATTTTGAATTAATTTATGAATATAGTGTGATGTAGGGGTCTGGATTCATTCTTTTGGATGTGAATATCCAGTTTTCTCAGCACCATTGGTTGGAAAGACTATTCTTTTCCCTTTGAATGGTCCTGGCACTCTTGTTGAAAAATCTGTTGAGCATTGATGTATGAGTTTATTTCTTGACTCTGACTTCTGTCCCTTTTGACTGTATGTGTTCTTTGCCAGTAGTGCACTATTTTGATTACTGTACCTTTATAATGTGCTGTGAAATTGAGAATTATGGGTCTTTCAATTTTGTTCATCTGTTTCAAGGTCTGGCTATATAGGTCCCTTGCCTTTCCATGTGAATGTCAGGGTCAGCTTGTCTATTTTTGTAAACAAGGCAGTTGAAACTTTTATAGGAATTATGTTGATTTTGTAATTCAATTCACAGAATATTGCCATCTTAAAAATATTGTCTTCCAGTCCTTGGACAGGGAATGTCTTTCCACGTTCTTTAATTTTTTTCAGCAGTGTTTTGTAGTTTTTAGCATACAAGTGTTGGCACTTTAAGTTTATATCTAAGTATTTTATTTCTTTTCATGGCGTTGTAAACATTGTATATTTTTATGTCACTTACCATTTTCCACTTTAATTGACTTTTATTTATTCTTTAAAATTGCTAAGCAGTTATAAACTTTTAGTGTGGGTATGTCTCACTTTTTACTTCTGCAGAAATCAGCAGTCTTTCAGTAGTAGGTACCCAGTAATACTCTCTAATGGACAATATACCTTGATGTTTCTTGTTAGATACATTGGGGAGTTACTCATTTAACAAACATTTACTGTGTATTGGCTGTGTTCCAGGCAGCATACTATATATTGAAAACATGAAAGAAATAAGAACACATCATTCTTTCCTTTGAGATGTTTATACTTATATGGGACAGACTTAAATCTAAGAGGATAATTAGAACATAACATTATACATATTAGAATCAAGATATGTTAGCTTGAGGTTAATTTCATGTCTTCATTCCTGTATACATGTATATTCATGCTCTGTAGAAGGGATGACATTCAATTATTATTTTAAAGGAGAGTAGTAGGAGTTCCCTGATTAGAAATGAGGGCAAAGACTCATTTCAGCATGAACAAAGACAAGTCTCAAAAGGCCATGAATTTATCACATCATTATTTATAGTAAAAAATTAGAAATAACCTAAATGTTCAAAAGTAGGAATGGGTTGATAAATTATGCACTATTCACACAGGGAAGTCCTATGCAGTCACTAAAAATCATGTAGAGTATTTATGGAAGTGGAAGCAGCGTTCATGTTATATTGATAAATTAAAAAGAGCTCCAAGAAAGTAAGATACTGTTTCTGTAAAAAAAAAGACTGTATGTAAGTATAAAAATACTTGGAAGAGCTTGTAGGAAAAAGATAATAGTTATAATTTTGGAAGGAATACCTTTACTAGATAGTCAGAAAAAATGACTGACTTGTTTGAAGGTTAGAGTACAGGAGTGAGATATTTTTTCATACATGGTTTGGAAAACAGAATTTTTCTCCCCGTTCTGAAGGACAGAGTAGTTCTTAAATCATATATTCCACCTTTGCTAGCAGAATAGGCACTGAGCATCCTTGAGTATTCCTTTGTTTCTAATTTACCGCTTACCTGATGAAATAATTCCCAGGCCTGTGGTGAATTGGCAACACATACGCCTTAGATCGCACAGATGTGTTTCAATCCCATATCAGCTCCTTTCCAGCACACTTTAACCAAATTACCTGGCTTATCTGTTCAAATCTCAGCTCCGTGTCTTTGTGGGGGAGCAGCGATTCTGGTGTGTGCCGTGGAATGGGCGGCGCCAGCTGGTGGTGTGTTCTCATCACGCCACGCTCTCGACCGCTAGAGAGTCAGGTCACCCTGGCCTTGCTTTCCGTATTTTCATACTGAGAGGGGGGTGCAGCTCCTGGATGCACGCGAACACTAGATGACAGCTAATGTTCCTTCTCGCCAAGATGTTGTAGATGTGCTGTGAGGTGTGATGCAGATGACCTGGATATGACAAGGTGAAGAGGAGAGAGAATGTAATAGAGCCAGGAGCAGCTGGACCATGTCGTGGTCCTATTTTAGTCCACTTTGGTAGAGCACGAATAAACTGTCTTTAAAAATTAGTGCAAAGAATTACTCTGGCCATAGAAATAGATTGTTGAAACACCTTTATATTTCTGGGGCACGCTCTACCAGGTTAAATATTTTAAAAATAAATTCATTTTTTTACTATCTTAGGACATTGTGATTTTATGTCTGTGTTCCTCAGCGATGTTGACCTTCACACTGTACTTGTCCACTGGCCTGAGTTAGGGAGAATTTTACTGACCTGCCCCCTTTTAAAAATAAATTCCCTGGATTAGTTTGTAGAAATGGGAATTGCCTATTTTTTGAAGGTTTTGTAGAATTTTCTTTTTAAAACCTTTTGGGCCTGGTTCCCACTTGAGGGCTTAATCTTTAATTACCAGTTCAACTTATGATTATTAGTCTAGTCAAGTTCTTTTCTGTCTCTTTAGGTCAGTTTTTATCATTTATATTTTCTTAGAAAAGTGTCCATTTAACATAGGTTTTAAAATTTATTGTGATCAGTTGTATACAATATATTCTTAAAATCTGGTGTTTTTTAGAAAGCAGCTTGTGATCTTATTGATCAGCTTGAGCCTGCCTGCCTTCCTCCTTCCTGCCTTCCTTTCTCCCCCGTCTCCCTCCTCCTGCCTTCCTTCTCATACTATTAATTTTTAACCATAATATTTTTTATTCTACTTTTTTGGTGTTTGTTATTTTGTGTTTTTTTAATTCAAAGTATAGTTCTTTTATTTTCTTTCATTCCTGAATAAGAGTTGTGAGTAACAAACACATACCTACCTGCTGGTCTAAAACTAGCTTTATCATCAATCAACTTTGTCAAATATTAATATTATTCTATACAGGCTTTAGAAAGTTTGCGCAATCCCACTTCCTGTTACACCACTTCCTTTTACAAAAGACCTACATTAGTACCTGTACAGAATTAGTCCCTAACTGAAAGAAACCCGGAGAGGATTTTCACTTTTATAAGAGAAGGTGAGAGGTGAAAAGTGAAAATAGCATTCAGCCTTCGTTTTGCATCAGCTGCTATAGAGGCAGCGACACCCACAGCAGTGAGAGGGGCCCTCCCGAGCTCCTTTCCTGGGAACCACACTCAGCTTCTCAGCATCAAACAGCAGAGCTTTGGACGGTGCCTGTGAGCACCTGGGCTTTATCTGATTTATTTTGTGCATCTATAAGCAAGATGTGTCCTAAGGATCTGAAAAGCCTGGGAGAGCTCATAAGGGTGTTATGCT